GTCATTTTTTTTCTCCACTAAGCAGTGCAGCTTTGGATCTTTTGTGTGGCTAATTTTATGCTCGAGTCCTGCAAATAATATTTTAGTGAAACTAAGATAAAAAAGGCAAAAGAGCGTCAGAATTCCAAGCACTGTGTCAGAAAGACGACCTGTGTTAGCATCCCCTTGAGTAAACCTGCAGGGGCTTCCCTCCCCAAGGCTGCGTTCGTGTCAGTAAGACCTGAGTCTATAATTATTTGGGTACAGTTTTTGGACAGAGACTGGTGCTGCTGAGGTCGCAGGGGGTCCTTACTGTTGCAGAAGCAGCCGGTCAAGGCTCTGATCCACAGCTGGGATGGGGTTTGGCGAGGGCTCCATGACAGGTCAGCTCCGCTCGGAGAGAGAAGATCTCCCCGAAGCTCTGCTGAGTCAGTCTCCACCACTGAAACAGAATCAGAAACAGCCAGCAGGTGGCTATTTTTATCATTTTGTTTTCCAGCAAATGCAGTTGATGAAGTTCTGGGGCTGAGATGGGAGAAAAAGATGCAGCTGGAAGTGTAGGAATTGTCTAGCAAGAACCTAATATGTAAGTAGCTTATCATGGAAAACGACCCTGGTTAAGAAACCTGTTGTGTGATGAGCACTGGGTGTTATACACAACGAATGACTCTGCTCCTCCCACTCCCTCTTCCCCTCCCCCCGGCTCGTGCTTGCACACTCTCACTCTTTCTCTCTCTAGCATGCTCTCTGTCAAACAAATAAATAAAATCTTTAAAAAATAAAATAAAAATTGTATATATTTAAGGTATACAAAATGATTTGATATGTATACATAGTGACATGATTACTGCAGTCAAGCTAATTAGCATATCTCCCCACATAATTACCATCGTTTGTGTGTGTGGTGAGAGCCCCTGAAATCTACTCTCCTAGCAAATTTCCTGGGTTCAATACCGTATTACTAACTACAGTCATACGCTGGACACGAGATCGCTACTTACTCGTCTTACCTGACTACCACTCTGTGCCCTTTGACCAACGTCTCCCCATTTCCCTCAGCAACCCGCCCCTGGTAACCACCATCCGACTCTGCTTTTAGTATTTGACTCTTGTAGATTCCACGTATCAGTGACAACATGTAGTTCTTTTTCCTTTCCTCTGTGTCTGTCTTATTCCACTTAGCATAATGCCCTCAGTGCTGTCCGTGTTGTTGTAAATGACAGGAGTCATTCCTTCCTTCTAATGGCTGAACAATATTCCATTTTGCATATAGCACAATTCTTTATCTATCCGTCCACCGATGGACATGTAGGTCGTTTCCATATCCTGGCTATTGTGAGTAATGCTGCAGTGAGCATGGGAATGCATATAGCTCTTCAGGATTTTGGTTTCGTTTCCTTAGTATATACTCAGAAGTGGGATTGCTAAATCACCTGGTATTTCTTTTTCTTGAGGAACTGCTTACTGTTTTTCATAGTGGCCATATCAATTTACATTCCTATTAATAGTGTACCAGAGTTCCCTTTTCTCTACACTCTTACCAACATCTGTTTTGTTTTTTTATGCTAGCCATCCTATCAGGTGTGAAGTGATATCTCATTGTGGTTTTGATTTGCATTTCCTAATGATGAGTGCTGCTGAGCATCTTTTCATGTGTCTGTTGACCACACAGAGGCAAAGAAACAACAAAATGAAAAGGCAACCTACAGATTGCGAGAAAATGTTTACAAACCATATATCTGGTAAGGGGTTGATATCCAAAATATATAGGGAAAACGTACAACTCAACAGTAAAACAACATACAATCTGATTTGAAAAATGGACAAAGGACCTGAACAGACATTTTCCAAAGAAGAAGTGTACAAATGGCAGTTGGAATTTTGATGCTGATTTGCTTAGAATGTGTAGTTGCTTTTGGTAGCATATCTTTTTTTTTTTTTTGCGAGAGAGAGAATGAGAGAGAGCACGAGAGGGAAGAGGGTCAGAGGGAGAAGCAGACTCCCTGCCGAGCAGGGAGCCCGACGCGGGACTCGATCCAGGGACTCCAGGATCATGACCTGAGCCGAAGGCAGTCGCTTAACCAACTGAGCCACCCAGGCGCCCCTAGCATATCTTAAATTTAAGAGAAAAAAAGGGGGAGGGGCATGGCCTGACCTTGTAAGAGATAATGATGAGGGTGTGAATTATAGTCACCTTGTGCAGACTCTGTCTAAATCACCCTAGGATGTATAAATGTTCTCATTTTCCTGCCTGCCAAAAGGGAGTGTGTATATCTGAGCACCTTGTAATTTTTTTTTTCTTTTTCCCCTTTAATGAACCTAATTAAAGCTCTAACAATGTTATGATCCTCTCAAAGATGACTATGTGTCCATTTTCTTTTTTTTTTCACTTTTATCCTTTCTACTTTGGGTTTACCTCCCTTTGTTCTAGTTCCTTAGGGTAGAAATCTACATTGTTGATTTGTGAGCTTTACCCCTATCTATCTTAAAAGCATTTGATGTTACAAATTTCTCTCTAAGCACTGCTTAAGCTGCATTCCCACAAATTTTGGTATGCTGTTTTCATTTTTGATCAGTTTAAAATATTTTCTAACTTCTCATGTGATTTCTTCTTGTACCCGTTAGAAGCATGTTGATTAATTTCCACATATTTGGGGACTTTTCCAGATACCTTTCTGTAATCCGTATCTTCGTAAATTCCACTGTGGACGGACACGGTGTATATCTGTGTATGATATACACTGAATAATGTTAAATTGTTTTCAGTTTTGAGACTTGTTTTATAGCCCAGTAGGAACTGTACTGTGTAATATTTTAATGGATTCTGTGATTATTGGGTAGAGTGTCCTATAAATTTCAATTAGGTCACACTGGATGATATTGTTGCTCATGTCTTCTGTATTATTCCTGATCTGCTTTTTCTTTTCATTACAAGTGAAGGGTGGCAATACCTAATTGTAATTGCTTATGTAACGGTTTCTCCTCTCATTTCTATCAGTTTTCCTTTAAGACTTCTGGGACTTTGTTACTAAGGGCATTCTAACTTAGCATTAATATGTGTTCTTGGTGAATTAACCACTTTATAACTGGGAAAAATATTTTTTTTTATCTCTGGTCATACTCCTTCTAAAATATACTCTGATTTATAGGCAATTAACCAACAAGGCCAATTCTGTTTTCTTTAGATCAGTGTTTCCTTAGCATATCTGTTTCCAGTCTTATTTTTAATCTATCTTTGCCTTTCCATTTGACACCTCAGTTGGGTTTCTTATAGAGAGCATGTATCTTATTTTTTAAGAAGCTGACAATCCTCCCTTTGAGACAGAATCTTAGCTGCTCACTTTATTCCATCCCACAGAGCCAAATTTCCATCTGGCATTAATTTTCTTCTGACTGGAGAATTTTTTTTTTTTTTTTTTAATAGTGCAGGTTTTCTGGTAAGGAATTTTCTTAGCTTTTTGTTGTTGTTGTTTAAAAAGTTTTACCTTATTTTTTTAAAATAGACTTCATTTTTCAGAGCAGTTTAAGTTCACAACAACACTGAGCAGAAGGTAAGGAGATTTCCCACATACCCTCTGTCTTCACACCTGCAAGGCCTCCCTCAGGATCCATATCCTCCCAGAGGTCACATTAGTTACAACTGATGCGCCTGCATTGACACATCGTTATCACCCAGAGAGGTTCCGGAACAGTCCACCCTAGAGCTCAACAGCCCAGCTACAGATGCAAGCCCTTTCTGAGGGCTCTCTCCGCGTTGCTGTGGGAAGGCACATGGGTCAGCCTGGTATGTGTTCCTGGAATTATCCATCCAATCCCTTTGGGGTGTTTTTATTTTCCTCTGGGCTTGCCAAGTTTCACCCGAGGCGTGCTCAGACCAGCACTGGGACATGATTCAGGAGAGCCCTCTGCTGCACGTGGGTGCTCCACCCCCATCCAGATGCCCCCTTCTGGTTTTCCGCACCGAGAATGGGGGTCTCGTGCTGCCCGAACCTTGAATCCATCTCTCGGACTCAGAAGGATCGCTGGTCTGCTTGGGTTCTCCTGCCCCGTGCTTTGGCCTGGAGCCTGCTTCCCACAGGAGACCGGAGACAAGGGGTCTCGCTCATGTGGCCCCCGTCTCCGCAGCCGTAGCCCCGCACTCCGGCTGTCCAGTGTCTAGAAGGACTGTCTCACGCCTCTGTCTGCTTCCCTAGCTGCATCCTGTCGGAGGGCAGTTCCCACAGCAGTTCATGCTTTTTGGATGGCAAGTGGGATCCAGGCATCTGCTCCCCTCTTCCGGACAGCCCGGTTCTCTTGCTTTTCCATAGGGCTGGTGTGTCGGGGAAGATGGACCTCCCACGGCATCTCCGGAAATCCTTCCGTATCAACATGGAGAGGACACTGGTTAGAAAGCCCCAGGGCCCCAGACCACTGGAATGTACAAGCAACACTTTCTGAGCAGCTTTTATGCTCAAGGCACTTTCCTAGGCTGGCCCAAAATGATTAAGACAAAGTCCTTGCCCTTAAAAATGATGCAACCAGATATGGAGATTGGAAATATGCAAATGGTACAACACAGAGATCAAACAAAATTCATAGAAGGAGCATTCCGTCAGAACCCTGCAGTGTATCAGAGGAAAGCTCATATTCTTTTGGGAAAGCAGCTCTCTTTGTAGGGAGGCGGTAGGATTTGCGATGGCCCCGGGGTTGGGGGGGATGGGTTAAAGTTTAGAGATGAAGCTGGAAGGGTGATTAAATGCCGGATAGGGGAGGTCAGAGAGAGCAGAGGCACGGGTTATAAGAAAACCAAGGGAATATTTCAGGAGGAACAGGGAGTCCAATCTCATTGGGGTACATAACTTGCAAAAGAGGAGTTAAATCTGATAACGCTTAGAAAATAGGTTTAGACCCCTTTGAGGATTCCTCCAGAGATTATCCTGCATTTGAATTAAAGGTGAGTCCATGAACGCTTTCCCAGTTACCAGTTTGGTAACAACTACCACAATAACCAGAATTTAAAGAGAACAATCAAGCTTCTAATTCTTTTGAAAAAAATATTTAATTTGATTTTTCTTCTATAAACTTCCGGGAGGCATTTTCACACTTTACAACGTTCCCATCACGTTTCTGGATTTTTTTTTTATTTCTTTCTTCGGCAGCATTTTCGGCCCGCGGAAGAACAGCGGCCTATCTGCTCCTCCTTTGGCAGGCAGCTAAGCACAGCGCACCGACCGCTCCTTATTCTGCAATAATACCTCTGCAGGGTATTTATAATTCCTCCATTTCCTGCAAGGAATAAATAGAACACGCGGGAAGGCTTTAGTCCAAGTATAAGGCTTTTGAAATTCCCCAAATAACTGATCTGTTACCTTTCTTCTATTCTTCCCCTGCCCTGCACCCCCTACACACTTCTACTTAGGGTCGGGTAGTTGGAAAGTGAATTCAGTTATACTCCTAGTTGTATACCTCATAGGGATAAACACATACACATACATACCTTTCTTTAAATTAAGAAATGAGAAAACACATACTGGTTTGGATTTGGTGGATACCAATTTGTAATTTCCTTTATAAATACAACGTTATTCTGATCACTATCCCCAGGGGTTGTTTTTCTTTTATTTTAGGGTGTTTTCTTTCTTTTTTAAAATTACGTTTTCTTTTTTCTATAAAATGAGAAGTAAAGTAGAGGAAGGATTAAGAGACCAACTGACCTGTGCTTCTAGGGGCCACAGCTCAGCTGGGGACTGCGGTGGCATTGGGGGAGGGGTGTGGCCACCAGGCACACAGGGGCTGCAGGGGTCCCCGGGGCTCGCAGCCTCCCAGAGACTCTACTTGCAACCCCTAAAGCTAGTAACTAGAAGTCTGTCCTTCTGATCTCAGATTAAACCCATCTTTCCTGGGGCGCCTGGGTGGCTCAGTCGGTTAAGCGTC